ATCGCGGCAATCGCCGTAGAGGGAGAACAAAATGCCGTGGATCATTGCGACAACGACGGCAATTTTTTGCAGTATAGTGTAATTTTTATACTATTCACTGTGCATTACTATTTTGATACTTGAATTCAGATGTTGATCAAATCATGCGTAAATTACTATTTTAGTCTCAGTTTCTTCAAAAAGAAACACTAAAGAAATACGTAAACATGTTTCTAGCTTGTCAACAATCCAAAGTAACAGTTAAATAAAATTTTGTTACAGTAATTTGAAAAAATGCCGTGAAAACGCCCAAAATTGCCGTAGACAGTTGTTACGTTCTACGGCAATTTTTAACACCATTGCCGTCGATTGATTTCAGGGAAATTCGAGGCCTGATTAGAACAGAGAATATAATAGAATGAAACACAACAAAAACAAAACAAGACGAGCAATAACAATTTTCATCTAACAATACACGTTTGACCACTTACCGAGATGACATCTAGGTTGAACACAAAGAATTTTATGTTCTGATGAACCTTTACAAGGCTTTCCTTTATTTTTTGGTTCAGGATTGTCGCACTTTCTTGTACGTAATCTCTTGCCTTCGTTACAGCTGTGGGAACAAGCGCTCCAGGGAGTCCATTCACCCCAATTTCCGTCGATTTTGACTAAACGTAAAGAAGACAACGTAAAAATTGAACCAGGCTTATAGCCAGAAGGGCTATAGAAGAAGCCCGTCCAGGCGTCCTGGGACGCCCCTAGAACAAAAAGTGGACGCCTTTGGACGCACAAATTCTGGGGGAAAAGGGAAATTATTTTCAATGATTCCCTAAGTATATTAATATATCCGAAACGAAATAGCTTCAATTCTCATTATTATTATACATTTGACATTTTGATAAAATTGATGGCGTACCTGGCTGAACGAAAATGTCGTAGTTAAGTAAAGAGGCAATAGTGGCACAAACTCACAAAGCCAAGTATGTTTGAAAAATTTCAAACGAGGTTGGAAAGATACTAACAAGAAGTAACAATTTTCCAGAGGAACGTTTTCTCGAACCCCCATACCCCTCTTTACTGTAGATGTATCGTTATGTCAAAATTGGACGCCCTCTTTTAGAACCCTGGCTAAAAGCCTGAATAGAACATTAAATTACAAAATCTACGATACGTATTAAAATATAGACTTTTGTTACAGTTTTCCAAATTTTTATCGGTAACAAAATAATGAAAATTTAAAGCACCGAAATCGCAGAGCCGCAGGTTCGAATCCTACAAGAAAGCCTATAATCGCATTTTTCGCAACCGTTCTGGTTAAGTCGAATAAATGTATTAAAATTCCACTTGAAACAGTTCCATCAACAAATCTCTTCAACAATTAGAAACGCTAAATTTAATAACGCTAAATCCCCAAGTGTCGCCAGCTATCTTCGCCACTCGTAGAACAACCCGATCAATCTCATCAAACAAACTGAAATATGTCATCCCTAAATGCAGAACTACCACCTACCAAAAATCTTTCCTCGTAAGAGCGTGCTGAGTTTGGAACTATCTTGCAGATGAACTGAACTTTACTAAGGATACTAGCATTTCTGTATTTAAATCAGATCTGCTCAAGTATTACTTTACATCACTGAACATTAATTATGATCCTGAAAACTCTCGAACATTTAAGAGTATATGTCTGAAATGTAATTGTATTCGAAGCCTGTTACGTCCAATATCGTGTTGCAGTTGAACTGTAAATAAGATCACACCATGTAACGCATGTGTAATGATAGTTTTGTGTCGGGCCCGCAGTAATTGGCTATTCGCTGTTGCGGTCACCCAGCTGTGGTCATGTATCTACTGTATTTCATTATGTACGTTTGTTTTTGTCCTGTCCTGTCATGTCATGTCATGTAATGTACTGTTTCATCGGCAAAGTTTATAAATTAAATTAAACCTCATGTTTCGCTCGCTACTCTGGTTTAAATAAATGATTACAAAGCCCAGTCGAATTGTAATCAAGACCCAACGTTTCGACACTCCAGTCTAATGTCTTCATCAGGGGTACGATCTAAAACTGCGATCGTGGCTTCTTAAATACCTGGTTGCAGTGAACGAACAAACTTTATAATTAGAAACCTATTAAAGGCCAGTCCAAAAAATACGATTAGTTGTGTACGGCTGTCATTTTGGCGTATGAAAATTACAGCCGACGCCACAATTCCCCGTGATTTATTTTATACTAAAATTTTTCTGCGCGTGCTTATCCCATTAGGGAGCGGTCATTATTTATGGCGAGAGGTGGCACCGAAGAGAAAAGGGTTGGGTAAACAAAACATTTGAGTAAGTAAAAGGTTGGGTAAATGAAAAACAAAACAACTCAAGGGTTTGGGTAATAAAAATTAAATGAAAAACAAAACAACTCACGGTTTGGGTAATAAAAATCAAATGAGAAACAAAACGACTCAAGGGTTGGGTAATAAAAATTTATTGTCATTTCCGAAGCACGAGTCACTCAAATATTAAAGACTAAAAAGCAATGTCAACAGTCATATATCAACATAGCATGTAAATCAATCAGAGTCACTATCTTGATCATTTTACCATTTGTCAGGAGGCAAATAGTGTTTCTGAAGAAAATACATATGCAGACCACATAAAACTTTAGACTGCAGAAAATTGCACAAGCAGGTATCAAACTCGTGTCACAGAAGTGGTAAAGGAAATGTGTGAGAGCTGAATGGTACCACTTTGTAACGTTTTTGGTCTGGAGATGGGTATTTATTTGTCAACTGATATTTGAGGTTGGGTAAAAATTTTTGTTTGACTTTTTAATGGTCGGATCAGCAATATTTTTAGCAAGAAAAACATTTTTATTCGGTGCCACCAACCTCCGCCACCCCCCCCGCCATCATGACCGCTCCCTTAGATACATAAGAATTTATAATACCAGTTTCACTTACGCGGGCACTCATTACTGGAGCATTTCACATAATGACTGTCCACTCCATAAGGGTTGGGATTCCCTCCGCAAGATGTGGGAGTCCTGCCATAGCAAAATCTTTGTCTGTTTTTATAACAGCGATCATCACAAGGGCTGTACGAACTCCACGGTGTCCATTCGTTTACTTTGTTGGCTACACAAAAATTGCAAACAATTCCATGTTTCAACGTTTCGCAGTGCACCGATACAATTCTGTCGCCTGATCAACTCAACGACAAACGACATTGAAGGTAAATTTTGAATAATTGGAGCAAAAATTTTTCAAAAAGTTTGTTGTGTCAATTCCCAGGTTCAATTCCCACCGTGGCCGATCAGGTTCGATTCCCACCGTGGCCGGGCATAATTTTCAAGCTCGCCCGGTGTGGATATACACTCAGAGTAACATCACAAATATCATATTCACCTGAGTACACAACACCAACACAGAAATAAGCTCAATATATCATTTTACAACATAGTATCCCCCCATTTTAAATTTTTTTAAAAATTTGACCAAAATTTAAAAATTTTTCAAAACATGTTTTTATCACTCCTAAGTAAAATTGTCCCGATGAAAGAAATGGTTTCGACAACTTTCAGAAAGTTTGCAGCAGGTGGAACCATTTTTTAAATTTTTTACAAAATGTTCTGTGATCCCCCTTTCTCACAATATGGCTACCCCCTCCTTGCATGTGACCAAAATTTGATAGCCGGCCGCTTTTGGAAACCCTGATGAGCCATAGAGGCAATACACAAGAAGACTGGACACTAAATAAAGGAAGATAATTCAAATACAAACGACGTTTACTCACATTTACAACGATACAAAGCATCCAGCTCAATGATATCGAGAACACTCATCTGGGTGTTTCCAAGTTCAATTTTACCTCGGGTACCTATGGCTGTTATTGTTTCAAGTTCGGCAGATTTACTAAACGCTTTGGATCCGTAATGCATTATGCTTTTGTAATTGTAGTTAATCTGTAGATGGGCAATTAGGTCGTGACCGTATTGTAGGAACTCATTTTCAAAACCTAGCAAAGATAAACAGACAAAAGTGCAACGCAATTCATTGACAGAGCCATGCTATCACAGAGAAATTTAAGCATGGTCCACAATCTACACACGTAAAAACGTACAAATTGTAAAATAAAACTGCACCAGACTTGTAGCAATTCAATGCTGTTCCAACAACTTGTCAACAGAATGTGTTCGCACTGCTTGTTTTCAGCTTGTTGACAAGTTGTCAAAGGCTTGTTGACAGTCTGACAACTTGATAAAATGACAACATTGTTACGCAACTTGTTGCCAAGCTCGCTACAAGCCTTTTGCGAACACATCTTGTTGACAAGTTGTGAGATTTTTACGTGTTTACTCCGCCGACACTTTCCTTGCATACTCCACTCCACTCCACTTTACTTTACTTTACTTTACTTTACAAACTTTTAACTTAATTACCTGGTTTAATATTCTGCCAATGAATCTCGACATGGTTTTGTCTATCGGGTCGACTTTGCTCGTGGAAAAATCCTATGAGAGTCAACAATATTCAAAGTATATACTAAGTCCTTACAGAGGCTAGTTGTCGAGATGTAAGCGCAGTTGGTTAAAGCGCTGCACCGGAATCGCAGGGACGCAGATTCAATTCCTGCCAGAGGACCTATGGTGTTGCATTTTTCGCAACCGTTCCTTGTAAGGCCTTAAATTGTGTATATATATGCTCACTTGGATGCTTCACTAAACCTAACATTGAAATATAAAGAGAAGCTAGGCCCGGCTATGTCTATAGGCTGACTATCTCCCATATTATAAGCGACAATCTCGTTCCCCGAGCCTGCGATCCTCGGGAAGGAACGCGAGGCTCTGGGATAATCCGTTTCAGGGAGGAATCTGATTGGCCGTTGAAATGGAATGCGTAGTTCAATCTTAGCCAGGATTCCTGGCTTCCGGCAACGGAGGAATAAATTGCGCAGAAAAAATACTTTAGATATTTAAATATCTTACCGACAGAATGAAGCATTTCATGAATAATAATATCTTCATAATCACAGTATTGTCCAACTGAGATAACTTGTGGACCTTGGCGGGCATAGGATCTACCAATTCTTGAATAGCATCTATATACAGAAATTCAATAGTTAACAATAAAACAAATGGGCAATTCCAGCTATAGCCTAAATTTTGATCTTGAAAAATTGAAAAGTTTAGCCGCGAAATGTTGTAAATGAGGAAAATACAACCATGCGAAATTTGCAAATTTTGTATTAATTTGTATTACGCGCGGGAAAATGCACCACATTTGGGCCGCAAGTGGTGAATTTTCCTGGCGTAATACAAATTAATACAAAATTTGCAAATTTCGCAGGGCTATATTTTCCGCATTTTACAACATTTCGCGGTCAAACTTTGCAATTTTACTAATTTTAACATGCTCTTTCTAGCTGTGGTGATGGATTTTGTTCTTCTTGCCTAGATCAAAATTTAGTCTGTAACTGGAACTATCCATTAACTAACACAGGAAGAAAACTGAACTTTCCATTAATGGGTTTTTGAATGTAAAAACTAACTCTTCCATCATTAAATGGTTAATATAAATTGCAAAGGGTCTTAATATATAACTTTAAAAGTTCTTTCAAATAAGACAAAGTTAATTTTTATTTCCCTTTACTGTCGTTCCAATTGAAGTGTTGCTCAAATATTGATTCAATACATTACCTCGGGCTGACCAATTCATTTGATCAAGTTCCTCGAGATATTCATACACTTCCTGTGAAAGAGCCAATTCCAAGTATTTGATCATTTCTAGTCACTTCCTTTCTATTTATGATTGGTTAGTTGCACAAACAACAAAGGTGATTGGTGCATTCAAACTATTCAACAGGAAGTTTACAATTATACTAGGAAGTGTAGGAATATCTCAAGGAACTTGATGAAATGAATTGGTCAGCCCGAGGTAATGTATTGAATCAATATTTGAGCAACACTTCAATTGGAACGACAGTAAGAATAATTTAAGCAATCAATTACCTAATTAATCACTTAATTAGCTCATTAACCAAATGCAATGACTTATAATTAACAATATAATTACCAAACATTCCTTACCCTTGACGTTTGTCAAACAAGACGTAATTTCTGTCATTTGCTTTCCTTGGGACAAACTTCACACAAGTCTTGCTGTTGAAAGTCTGGATTGCCTTCAAAATCGTATCCTTAATTTGAACTATGAAAAGTAAAACTATATTTCAAAATTCAGGTTTATTCAAAAACAAATTAATAATTCATGAGGAAAACACAAAGAAAAATCATAAGCGTGTCGTATCTTTATATGTGATAAAAATTTCCCTGGATTTAAATAAATTTAACTTTGATTTTCTCAACTTACACAACGTATTTTTTGCAAATTACATCGCCAATGAACTTAGTGATCGATCGTTTGTTCGTTTTTGAAGCAATTTAAAACATTTGCAGTGTGTGTTTTATCAGACCTAAAAGATACTCGGCTTCGCCTCGTATCTTTATATCTGATAAAACACTGCTGCTCATGTTTTAAATACTACTTCACGTTCGCTGCAAAAACATCCCTGAGTATTTTGACTAAAAAACTTGTGTCATTAAATGCATCCTTCCACAGCTCAAAATTTTGAGTAAATACAAAATCAATGTCTTCAGTCTGAGCCTAGACTATTTTATCTTTACAACAATTGTGAAATTGCTTCCTTAACTGTGTTTATCCTAACCCACCCTGGCGTCAACTTTCCCTGTGGGAGGAAGAGCGTTGACCGACTCTTTTCACATGAGTCCGTAGCGAGAATCGAACCCATGATCTCAAAGGTGAAAGGCGCATGCTCTGAAGACTGCGCAACCGAAGCCCCATTTGAAATTCCCTTCAAGGAATCTTACATAAAGACGACGATATTTCATAAGGAACTTTCTTATAATGCCACAGCCATTTCAGATTTCGCGTCCCTTGTCTCTTTGTGCCAGTTTTAACCGACGTCTCGTTCTTTTTCTTCTGTTGCATGTCATAGAGTTCCTTGTCTTCTGGGATTGTGTCAGGGTCAAGAACTATATCACCTTCGAAAAGGTCATCCGATATTTCTTCGGCTAGAAAAAGTGTTCATAATATGATAATGTGGGGTTCGAAATGGACGACTTACGCTTTAGAAAAAAATTTAATCTGGGAATAACAAAGGATATTTTCTGAAAGAAGTTATCAAAATTAGAAAAACTGCAAAGTTTGGTTGCGAAATGTTGTAAAATACGGAAAATATAGCCCTGCGACGTTGGCAAATTTGTATACAAATCTATTACGTGCGGAAATTGCTAACTAATTTAGTTACCAATTCACGCACGTAATACAAAAGTATACAAATTTGCCAACTTTGAAGGGCTATATTTTCCGTATTTTACAACATTTCGCAACCAAACTTTGTAATATTACTAATTGCAAGACGCTCTTTCCAGCTGTGGTGTTCTTACTTAGATTAAAATTTAGTCTAAAGCGCAAGTCGTCCAATGGAAAAACATATGGCCAGCCAAACTATTTTTATGGCAGGTCAAATAAATTATGGTCTGCCATTTCTATTTTTGAACTGACAGAATGGTCTTGCTCAGGTTTTAACATAAAGATTAATTTTCCTGCAGTGTTAAGCATGTACTTGTGGTGTTATATACAAGCATGCATAACACTTATCTTTCAAGATGGGAGATCCGGGTTCAATAATCCTTGGTCCAACCTCTACTCGAGGTCTTAAAATAATTGAGGAGAAAGAGCTACCTTTACGTTGACGCCAGTAAATGGTTAGACTTTCGCGTCTTCTCAGATATCGAATCATTCATGTATTTGCCCTACTTACTGTAACTGTTTTACTTATCTATTAGAAACCTTAAGATTGACGTTACGGCAAACCGCTAACTGAAAATAGCAAAATGCAAATCGTTGTGTCCTCAACCATTGGACGCCATTTTGTTTTCGTAGAATTTCGCCTGCCATTTTATTTTCGACTTGGCAGGGTCAAATTCTTTTCGCCTGTCATTTCTGAAATATGGCCTGCTTTTGGCCATTGGCAGGCCGCTATGTCGAGCCTTGTGATAATGTAACAGTTATTTAATCAAGATCATTGGTTTGTACTATTTCAAACGTAGTCAGTAGTTCGTCGTCAAGATCTTAAACTCCCTAATGTTTCTAAATTAGACTACCTCGAGAGGTTTATGGCCAGATGAAACTAACCATTGTTTGCATTAATGATTTTATCTTCTACAGCAGATCTTTTTGAGTTTTCTGTATTATTTAGACCGTCTCTCCTCCGGGTGTTTATCGCCAATATCTCATCCATTACATTGACCGGTCGATGAACTGAAATAAATAGACTACATTAACAAATTAATGAAGATGTTAGAAGACTCTCACGGCGAAAGAGATCTGATGAAACGAAGATGAGTTATCAAAACTCTCATGCTCCAGCAAGAGTTGCATGAGAACTGGCATGGATAGTCGACTTATTTTGATCAAAAGCAGCGTGCATTCCGCCATCTTGGATATACATTCGTCGCAAGTAGAGTAAAAAGCGAAATTTTTATCTTGCAAACCACATGTCATTATCAATATGAAACTCGAAGTCTTTTTAGTACTCAATTAAGTCACAACATTTTAAGAAACTTTTCGAAGAAATTTAGTCCCATATGAAGAAGTTTTAACAGGTTTACCCTGCTTGTGACGTCATCAAAAAACTCAGTTAATTAGGTCAATGGACCTTTCCCCTTATAACTAAAATTTCGATCTGGACAAATATTTCATCACAGCTTGAAAGAGCATCGCAAAATTAGTAATATTCCAAAGTTTTGTTGAAAAATCTTGTAAAATGCGGATAATATAGCCTTGCGAAGTTTGCCGTTTTTCAGTCATTTTGTATTACAAACGGGAAATTGACATCCGATTCGGGTGTTGGGGATGCAATTTCCATTTGTAATACAAAATGACTGAAAATTGCAAATTTCGCAAGGCTCTATTTTCCTCATTTTACAACATTTCGCAACGAAACTTTCGAATATTACTAATTTTGTGATGCTCTTTCAAGCTGTGATGAAATATTTGTCTAGACTTGCCTAGATCAAAATTTTGGTTATAAGGGGAAAGGTCTATTGCAGGGCGATAACAAGTTGTTGGAACAACTTGTACTGTAACAAGACTGTTAAGTTCAACAACCTTGTAGCACGTTGTCAACAAGTCGTTGACAACTTGTCAACAAGCTGGGAACAATCAGTGGGAACACATATCCTGCAGATGACAAGTTGTCAGAACAGCAGGTTTGTTACAACTTGTGCGGGTTTTTTAAGCCATCCACTTTTGAATTCAGACGGCCATTTTTCAAGCTATATGATAATATTTTCTCTAAACAGCAACTTGCGAGCTTTGTAATATTTCTTGAATACCCCGACAGTTGTAAGGTGCGGTGTACTTTATCTGCTGCATACATTTCGACATTTTTTTGTCGAAAACATGTTGAATCTTTGAGCATATGCTGCAACACCCACGGTATTTTTTGCACGGCTTAGTTTCAGTTTAGTTTATTTAGTTTAGTTTAGGTTTCCTCCAGTAGCAACACTGGATCAATCAGAGATGATCCTTACAGGAAACTGATAAATTAGCTATCCAGCTAGTGTAGTTGAATTTCTGAGAGCCGGCTTTTCTTGCATCTCGGTTTCAAATAGTAACATATAGATCGTTTTCACTCACGTGATCGGTGGCCCCAGTGGGGTGGTGAAACAATAGGAAATATTTGAATAAGAAAGAGCTAATTCCCATTCCGTACACCAATATGACCGCCATTTCATTGTTTTGGTACACCAATATGGCTGCCGTGACGTCAGATGAAAACGATCTATACTTTTCGTTTTCATGTGAATTTAGACCAAAATACTTACTGGTAATAAATTTTCAAGGCCAGCATGACCGTTGCTTTGATAATTTGAAACAATTTTTGGAAGGACACTATCGCGAAGGTATGAACAACAGCTGAGAACTATCAGAAAACGCTCGTCCTAAAACAAACAAAAAATATGTGGTCATCTTTTATTGCGATGGCGCGATGCATGTACTGGGGTAAATAAGTCACGAAACAATTACCCTGGCAGGCGAGTTAATTGAAGTCATAGAATGAACGTCTTCTTTGGAATCAAAACTTCCATAATGATGTCGACTTGATCTGTAAAGAAAGCGATATTTTTATACGCGTCAAATTTTTGGGTTTGCTTTGGGTAAACGGCTTTCGGTTTTATTCCTGGAGTGCGAAAACCTGGCATGCAGGGTTTGAATAATTTCATAGTATTGATTAAAGGAAATTTTATAGTTCAGTTACACTGATATTTTGTCCAATTCTTCATCAGAAGGAAACCCAAGGTGCTCCAGACTTTCAATTACTGCCTAAAATTTAGTAAAATGGTAGATATAAAGTCAGGGTAGTTTAAGACCCGTTTACACTTTATTAATTATTTCTAGTGCGATGTTCTTCTTCTAATGCATATGAACGAATAGATGAGTTACGAATGTTCTGCTCCAGAAAATGTTTTGAGTTCCCAGAAAATATTTCCCCAAAGAAAGAAAAAAAAGATAACTGTAAAAATTCTAACTAATAGAAAGAATGTTACCAGTATTGTGGGTATGACCTCAAACAGAAATGCAATAATTATTATAAGTGTATCCATCATAATATTGCGATAGTGCGTTAATGTATAGACTATAGAATGATGTAAGAAATGTTGTATGGCAAATGCATTTTAGCCAATCTGGGACACCTGATTTTCAAAATTTTCTGGGAGAGCACAAACCCCTCTGGTAGTGCCCCCTAATAGTACCTTTTTTAGTATCTGTATTTACCTTAGGATCAGACCCTTTATGCATGTTATCTAAATTAATTGTATGTTATATTCCTATAAAAGTATTATTAAGATTCTCAGTGAAATGAAATAAATTTCTCTGTTTAAATATAGCATGGTATCCAGTTTGACACAGTGACACCGAGTGTCAATTTACTTGATTGTTTGCAGAAAATGTTCTCTTGCGGTCCCAGAAAGTAAAATATTTTTTCCACCCCTGGTCAGAAGCGTTTGGAACTGACATAGCTACCTAGAACATATATTACAGTCGTGCCAATAGAAGCGTTTCGAAAAATGTTGACCAATTCATTTCCTAACTTGAAGGAACACCTCTGAACAATTCCTCAACAATTTGATAAGTTCCTTAAAAAGTTCCAAACTTCCTGTTTCATTGACCAATCAGATTGCTCAAAAATAAAATATAAAATTTGATTGGTCAATAAAACAGGAAGTTAGGAACTTTTTAAGGAACTTGTCAAATTGTTGAGGAATTGTTCAAAGGTGTTCCATCAAGTAAGGAAATGAATTGGTCAACATTTTTCGGAACGCTTCCATTGGCACGATGTAAAGTTAGTTTAGTAAAACTAAGTCAAGAATACCTGCAGCATCTTGTAAAACAGATCGTTGATTTCTTTCTGAATCTGATCGCCCTTAAAAATACAAAATGAAACTTCAGCACTAATCCAATGAGATTTTTCTTTCAATACTTAAATTGTCAAAGCTATTCACTGATAGCAACTATTTCAATATATAAATGTATAAAATTCACACTCGACATTTCCGTCTAGATACCTTTTCCCCTCCAAACGTTGCTTCGCCAATGACATCTTTAAGTAGATGAAGTATATCAATAGCTATCGTCTCAAACGTTATGGGCTGCGAGGAAAGATGAAAGTTAGTTTACTGAACAGTTAGTCATAGACCTGATAAGTTATTATGCAATTACTTTATGGTTTCCGTGTTTGGATGGCCTGATCCAAACACGCGGGAATGTTGCGAGAGTTTAGAAAAGCGCGCAAAATCGCGAGCCGAAGGCGACTGATTTTGCACGCTTTTCTTAACTCGAGCAACATTCCCAAGTGTTTGGATCAGGCCATCCAAACACGGAAACCATAAAGTAATTGTTTTATAAAATAACAACTTTCCGTGTTAAAATTTCACTTTAAAAAACTTTCACTTTAAATTTCCGTGTTTGGATGGCCTGATTTGGTTTCGGCCAATCAGAGCACGCATTATATACATGTTATTTCAGTATAGAATGAAGTGAAGCCAAAGATAATTCAAGACTGCTGACTCATCTTTACCAAAATTGTTATCACACATCCATTGCTAATAGTTTCCTTCGACCAATCTTCATTCTGATAAAGATTCCTGATTTCTGAGAAAAATTAACAGAAACAATCACGTTTGCGTTTTGTACGGGCGATATTCTCATCTACACTGATGATATTAAAAAAAATACGCAGTAAACATCATCTGAGGACACGAACACCCGACAAAATTCATCATTAACATTTAGCAGAGCCTGCAATCGGAATGTAGCTAACCTTCTACGGCGTTCTCCATGAGACATCGAGTTGACAGAAACTGCAGATCTTCTAATGATAACTGGACTGACTTCAGTGCTTCAACAGAGCTTTTGCCACATTGAGTTTTTAATGTACTATAACAACGTCTGTAGAAAGATAAATAATTTGCTATCAAATTTGCTATATAATTTGCAATGTCATTTAATGTCAAATTTAAATTTAATATCAAATTCAAAAATTCATTGCATCCGATTGCGTGTACAGCCGACAGCTTGTCAGCAAGATGTGTTCGCACTGCTTGTTCCCAGTTGTTTACAACTCTGAAACAAGTTGGTTGAGTAAGTAACAAGGTTGATAAGGCCAACAGACTCGCAACAAGTTGTTCCAACAAGTCTGATACCGTCTGCAGGTAACATGTTGTTAACAAGTTGATGACAACAAGCTTGCAGCAACTTGTTCGCTATTTTCATTAGTCACGTACCTGTAGAAGACAACAGTCTAGTGACCGAAAGCTGGTCAAAATAAATTACTTTTGGTCAGAGAACGACTTCTTTTATTATGTATTAAGCCGCGTTCACACCAGCGGCCCAGGCCTGGCCTGGACCTGGCCTTGACTGGGCCAATTGTAACGCATTCACACTGGCTTGACGCCCAACTCCAGGCCAAAGCAATGAGGCGTCAATATAAACGTCCTTGTGTTCCACTAAAGTATTTAATTTCGCGCTTTGAATGTTTTTCCCTCCAATTGTATGACAATCATCTGACCAGTTTTTATCGTGGGCAGATATTGCGATGGTAACGGGGCCTCGCCCAGGCCACGCCCAGAAAAAACCCGTTCACACCAGTGATGATCGAAGCCCAGGCAAGGCCAGGTCCAGGCCACCTACATTTGCTGGCCTGGATTTCTTGACTTAGGCCAGGCCTAGGCCAGGCTCAGGCCAGGTAAAACCCGTTCACACTTAGACCCAGGCCAGGTTCAGGCCAGGCCTCGGCCGCTTGTGTGAACGCGGCTTTAGTCATGTTGGAACAACTTGTAGCAAGTCTGTTACCGCCATCAACCTTGTAACAAGGTGATAACAACTTGTTCCAGACTTGTCACAACAACTGGGAACAAGCAGTGCGAACACTTCCTGATATCGGCTTGACAACAACCTTGTTACAACTTGTTTACAGATCTGTGACAACTTGCGCGTTCTTAGATGTGTACCTTACAAATTTGACACATTTTGGCAACCAAGGTGTGATTTCTTCACGGCGACAATTCCACTGTGTTTTCTTCTCTGGCTCGCGTTTATAAACTCCCACGAATACTTCTTCGATAAAACCCGAGTATCTTCCTGTGATCTCACTCACCATTGCCTACAAACAGAAAACGTTATGGTTCCCAAATGAAGTAGAGATGAGCCGATTAACTGGAAAATGATTAATTAGAAAAGTGTCCGTATTAGAAAGATGTCTATATCAGAGTCTGAGAGGTGTCCGTATTTGAGAGGTGTCTGTATTAGATAAATATTCTGATTAGAGAGGTTTCCATAGTAGAGAGGTGTCCGTATTAGAGGGGTGTCCGTACAAGAGAGGTTTCTGTATTCGAGAAGTGTCTGTATCAGAGAGGTGCCCGAAAGACAGTACTGTAAAAGTAAAGTTGGTTAACTCAGTATCATAGTACATAAACTACCTGGAACTCAAGTTTTCGTTCATCAGCAGGCACAAACGATGGTTTCTCTGGATCCATATTTTCCTGTAAAGAATATCGAACAAGATTATGCATCAAGCAAAGTAAAAATCAAGATTTTGTTATGATGAAACACAAAGTTTGAGACAGCAGTAATCGCAGAAATCTAACGCCGTCAGCTGCTGTTGCGGTCAGCTTGCTGCACGAAGCAAAGTTAATAAATTGAGACTGAAAATTCTGTGATTGAGTCTATTTGTAGTAAGTCAATGTAGTAAGTATTGTAGTAAGTCAATTAGGCAGTTCCCTCAAACGTTTCTTAAAAATCCTTCCAAACTTGTAATTTATCTATACAAAATTCCTACTGTGATCACAGAAACTTTGATAGTGTAAACCATCCTTAAGCTTTCGGTTGAGATGCATACTTCGTGATTAAGCTCGATATAAAAACCAGCAAACGATGTTTACCAGAATAACACACCTTATGAAAGAGACTTCCACTAACATATTCGTTCCCAAGCTTCCACAAATCAGGCAAGCTCTCGGCCAAGATGTCTGACAGTTCCTCTACAAAGATTACACCCTGTAGAGGCGCATGACCTTTAGAACCCCAACCTGTCGTAAAAAGATAACTTTGAAAACTGTCCTGTGTTTTATAAATTGTTTATTCTACTTCCTTCGTAATTTGCATATCACGTTGAAATATGGCTTCAACTGTGAATTATGTAACGCGACGTTGTTAATCGCAAAATCTGAGAATAAAGTAAGTCGTTTGAAACTTACCTCAATCGCTGGCTGCAAAACAAAGTGTGTCGAAGTATTTAATGTAATGTTGGCCTGATTTCAGTTACCGCCTATTCGGCATTTTCATTATTTGTACAGAGGTTAGTTTTTACGACATTTGTCTATTTAACTCTATATGAGAAACCGCATTACTGCCACAAGGAACAAACGAAAAAGCAGAATAGCCAGTACATGATACACGTATCTGTGTGTTTGTTTGAAAATAATTACGTGTGCGAAAATAATTGCGTGTGTTGTCCCAAAAGCAAATAATGCTTATCTAGGGATAAGCATTATTTGCTTTTGGGACAAACATTTGGAAAATATTTTTTAAATAAAAAAATTAGTAAGGAAGTAGAACATGTCCGTGATTTCTGGCCATGACTATCATGCGTTACTGTACCTCCATAATTGTCCAACGACTCTCTTCTTGGGCTGTGATAAACTGGTACGGCCAACGCCCCAGGACCATGGGTTTCTAAATGAAAATAACTATTTCTATAACGTCATAATAACTATTTCTATCAATAACTATTTCTTGCAAATGGAATGAATGGCATGGTGGTTTGAAGTGATGACAATTCTACTAAACCATGGACATTTGAAAATGACAGTTGAGGTTCATTTTAAAATTCTGGGAAAATATACAACATGAATCATTCATATGAACACGAACGGTCTGTGATAGTGTATGTTGCGACGATAACAAGACAGTTAGTTCTTAGTTGTTGTTACAGGTTTAGAACGAGCTGTTAACAACTTTGTTGCTGTTAACCTTGATGGCATTATCAGACTTGTTATAAGGTTGTTCTAACAAGTCTGATACAGTCATGGTATAACAAGAATGTTACAAGGTTTACGACACAAGGTTGTAACAATATAGTTATATCATGACTGTATCGGACTTGTTGTAACAACCTTGCAACAAGTCTGATAATATCAACAAGGTTGTTCCAAGCTGTTGACAAGTTGTTCCATACTTGTTGACGGCTTGTTGGCAGACTTGCTACAAGATGTGAAATTCTTGCGTGTGTATCTCTCACACTCGTATTCATACGAACGTACTTTTGCCGAGGTGGTCAGTACGGCAGTTGTCCAGCAATCCTAACAGCCATTTGTGTTGGTTCATCAGACAGTCCCACGCCACATCACCGGGGGAATCTAAACCAATCACATACCTAGAAATAACAAGAAGCCCTATAACATGGATGAGGAAAAGTAACGCACCATGGGACAATTAGTCCCGGAAAATTCTTGCGCTGTTATGCATATTAGGGACTGTTTATATGGAAGCCGGTAGGCCAGCTTAGCGAGACAGCCCGGTAAGCGTGATCTCGCTGCGTAGTTATTTTTATAGTAAAAATTAACGTGCAAGCGCGCTGGCCCGGTTGCCGAGATCTCGCTTGAAAGAGGCGAGATCTCGCTTACCGGGATGAAAATTTCTCCATATAAACACTCACAGGTGGGCTGGCCCGGTTGCTGGGATGAAAGTTTAAAGATGCTGTCGCAAGCCATTTTTAACAACTGTCAAAATAATGTCAAAACAACAAAATTGTCCCGGTAAACGGGATGAAATTTTCTCATATAAACACAAGAGAAATTCATCCCGCTACCGGGCTGTCTCGCTTAGCGGGCCAGCCCAGCTTCCATGAATATAAATAGCTCCTTAGATGAATTACCGGATGTTCTACAGTATATTTTCTTTGACGAAAGTTCTCCATATAGAATACAAGTGTCCATACGCTGTTATTGAGTTTTTAAAATGCACTAATTGAGAAACGCATGTACAAAAATGAAAGCCATACTTGATGTATCTTCTCATGTCTTTCAAAGGAATGGGTAAAATAGATAAACGACTTCGTAGTTGATTTCGAAACTTCTCCACTTTGCTTTCGACTTCTTCCAAAACTGAAATAAGAAAGACGAGAAGAATTTGTTAATTTGAAATTCGAAGAAAAAAAAGAATGTACTAACGTCGCACCTTTTTTAAAAACAATCGGGGCATTATCTGAAACTAGTGATTTGGCCTTGGAGTAATCATTGACAACCATCTCATAGTCACCCTGTAAGAATGAAGATCAGATCCGACATTATTATTATTGTCATGATAAACTATCATCACGAACACCATCACTACCATCATCATAACCACCATTCACCACTACTATCATCACCATCAATAATCACCACAAGCATCACCATCATCAACATCAACATCAACAATCACCACTACCATCACCATCACCATCACCATCATCAATAATCACCACACGCATCACCATCATCACCATCAACATCAACAATCACCACTACCATCACCACCATCAATAATCACCACACACATCACCATCATCACCATCAACATCAACAATCACCACTACCATCACTCAGGGTGCGATAATT